GCGTATTGGACCTCATTTTAAACACTTTTCAACATTGTGTTTGGTTGGTGACATGGGAATTGATCCAATCGAGCATATGGAGGAGTCAATGGATGAGGAACAAAGTGTTTATATTCTGAACTTTGCCATATCGAGGACACAAAACGACATTCCTCACTTAAAGGCCAAGAAGTGCAAGATGCGATACCTATACTTGGTTTCTTTATTTTAACACCACCGTCCCAGGAACGTGATACAAAAGTTGATGCCAAATTGGGGGCGCAATTCATATCCTCAAAGTGGAAGGAAAAGTGGTGAAAGTAATGGCGTCGTGCCGCGACGTTAAATCAAGAGCTTGTTGGGAGGCAACCCAATTTTATTTTATTTTATTTTTTTTACTTTTGCTTATTTTTTATTGTGTTATTTTTTGTAGTGTTGTTTTTGTATTTTGTAGGAGTACGAGCATGGAGTCAAAGCCAATAGGCATGTGCAAAAGCGAGCAGGTGGTTGAAACTAAGTGTGAGGTACCCGCACAAGGGATCATACCAGGGAGAAGTCTGAGTATCCCGTGAGCTGCAAATTCTTCAGCCTTTGGCCTACCAGGGAGTTTCTTTTACCCTCTTGTTATTTTTAGTGTGCATTGAGAACATTGCACAGTTTTAAGTGTGGGGTGAGGAGATTGTCTGGGTGATTTTCTATGTTATCCGAGATTTATTGTAGTACTTTTTCTTAGTGTAGTTAATTGTGTTAAAAAATAAAAAAATAAAACAAAAAAAATCGAAAAAAAATAAGAAAATTGAGACTTTTCCTGATGATAGATTTGGTTGACAGCTTTCTTGAGGGATTAAGGTCCAATAAAAAAATAATCAAAAAAATATTTTATTTTTGTTTCTAGTTAGTCTTAGTTAGACAACAATCCCTTGTGGTTTTTCTTTGTGCATCGGTTCTTTTCCATGGGATGTAACTTGAACCGGGTAATTATTTTTTTTTTTAGGATTAGATTAATTTTTTTTCCCTTTATTTTAGGAGTAGAAAAAGAGGGAGAAGAAAAAAGGTTTTGTGACTTGTTTGATACTAGCATATTTAGGCCTGAGCTTGAGTAGTACTTTCCTCTGAGTGCTTGAGTAATGAATAAAATAGCAGACTTTCTGACACCTAAGCTCAGGGTTGTGACTCTTTATATAGCTTATTCTTATTTTGTTGTTCGCTATGATCCTGTCTGTCTTAGATTGGAATTGATCCATCTTGATTGATACTTGTGCCATGTGGGGTGAGGATTTCTTACATATATTCCATTTTTTTGCATCTTAGTCTAGAACTTGCCCTGCATGTTATTGAAGCGAAATAAAAGTGTTGCTCTCTTTAGAAGATGATAATAGGCTTTCTTTGATATGTCTTGTAAATTTTAGCCTTTTCAGATATTGTACCACTAGTTAGCCCTTTGTGCCTGTAGCCTTTTGTTTGGAAGTCGTATTTTTGCCTTGATCCTTTTTGTTGAATCCCTAGTTTTGCACCCTGCTTCCTTGAGCATTGTTGCTTAGACCGTGATATTAATTGTGAAATCTGAAGAAAGGGATGGTTACGTAAAAAAATGGCGACCAACGATAGCTGAAAAGTGATAAAAAGGCCCTCTTGAAAAGAATGTGACATGCATAAAAAAAATGAAAAAAAAACGAGAAATGAAAAAAAAACTTGGACTTCGAAAAAAAAAACT